AAGCATTATGCCTGTGGGGCTGGAACGTAGAGCTGGTTTTCCAATATGCCTGATGAATGCCCAAAACGGTGGAGTAGAGACAGTTTCCTTCTCCTTGACTCTGCCATCAATGAGTCTGTAAAGTTAAACAGTTTTAAGAGTAAGACAGTCCATGGGATGGGAGAAATCCACAAGGAATAGCTCAAAGTCATGTTTCTCCATTGCCAGGTTAGTATCCGGCTCACTGGTCTATTCAACTACATTATGGTAATTGTCTCTTATTTTGACCAGAATCAGATGAATCTTTCTAGAACAAAAGGAATCATAGGAATGGCAAATTTCTTGCTAAAAGCATCAGTTTGAAATGATTAACAGTTGCTGAAGAACATCAGTGTTCAAATCTCCTTGTCCAATTTGAGTGATATGCCCGTGCTGCCAGCTTCGAGACCAAAAAAGTCAGTGAGTGACTGTGAATCTCTAAAAGGTAACTAAAATAGGCAGAAACATTGCAGTTTGCTCCCCAAATGAGAGCTTGGCCCATCTTCCTAACAAAACTCTGGCTAGTCTTCTTACAGGAAGAACAATTCAAAAGACTTCCTTGGGGCAAAGCAACGCAATTCTGTTCATTACACACTATAATACCTGTGTGAAAGAAGAGACAAAGCAGGGATACTTCTTGAAAAGCATTTAACAATGAAGCAAGGGAAGAACACACTTCTTCAAATTAAGCTGAATCAAAATACTTTGTTCAAGAACCTAGCTACAGATGACTACATCTAGCAAACTGGATAATCATATTATGGAAAGCTACAGTCCTGGCTACCTTGCACAGCAAGAATTCTGAAACCAAGAAGCAGCACGTAAGATCACCCTCACTGAAAGAATGATTGATTGCAAGCAAAGAAGAAAGAAATTACACAGGATAGCTTTTCTGCGGACAGCATGCTCACTTGTGCTTTGTAAACCCAAGATAAGGCCTCTGGGAATGTAAGATACTAATTTAAAAGAAATGAAAATGATTTCTAACTTGCCATGTCAAAACCTTATATAAAAGCGTTTTCATTCACTATGTAACGCCTGTAATGCCCAAAGACCTTCTCAGATGTATTTGTTTTCTGGTTGATTCTCCTAGGAGAGAGAAGTATTGCTATCTAAAAATGAATGACAGTATAATGGCAAAAATCCTGAGCCTTTAACTTTAATAGGAATTTTTAAATGGACAAACTAAGCATTTCAGGATTAGGTCCACAGAAATAAACCATCATTAGATTCAAGGGATTAAATATTTATTTACTGTGAATGATATCTTAACACTGCCAAAGGGACTGTTCTGGGAACAAAGGACAGCAGTATGAGAAATCAGTCCATAGCAGTCTGATGCTGAGACACTTTATATATTCCAATGTAAAATGCCAAAATACTTGTAGGCAAATAGACAAAGATACATTCAAAAGTGACATAAGCTAGTTGCTCCCCAAGGGTAACTGCTGGACAACAGGGGACCACTGTGACACCACCTACCTCTTGAACCAGAAATCTCAGTTTTAGACAGCAGGAAATCTATTTTTGCTGAGAAGACAAAGGGAGAATATGTGGCTATGGAAGAAAAGCAGAAGGCCAGCCATGGAAGTATTTCTGCTATCCATAATCTTTCCTTTTATACAAAATTTCTACCTCACTCTTTGATCCCCATATTTGGCTGCATATGTCTCTTCCTACACAATTACAGTAGCCTGGGAAAATTGTTTGGAACACTGTGAAATATGTTTTCATGGGTTTTTTCCTGTTCTTTTTGAACAACATTTTACAATTTGTAAAAATTTCCATTACTCCTGCTATTAATAACTGTTAATTAAAAGTAGCTGTGAATGTAGATTTGTGATATACAGCAAAAATTTCAAAACAGCTTCTAGCACAGAGGTATCCGGGCTCAAGACTGTGGTTCTAATGTACTACTGCTATTCATGTTGTGTACAGCTATTACTACTAGTAATGCTGCTATGAAAATTGATGAAATTCTACACAGCTATATTTGCTTCAGAAAGTAGGCTGTATGTCTTGAATTCGGTGGGAAATTACAAGGAGTATGTTAGGTTCCTACCTTAGTATTATTTTATAAATGAACTTTCTGTTAATAGATGACAAAAACTATTTCTCTCAAAGTGTCACAGCATTACTGAAGGCCTGTATCAGACTTAAACTTGGATTAATCTATCCTAAGGTAACTGTTTTATACAAACACATCTTGCTCTGTGATTTGTCTTACCCGTTCCTTCTCCTTCTCTTGCAACATCCAAATCTATATTTTAGATGTATATGCCTAACGATCCCTAACTATTGAGTATACCTGTCACGTATATGAGACCCACCTCCTTGCCAGCTCTGGTATCTAAGTCTCATTCAGGCTGTGTGTCTAAATATCACTTGCCATCAGAACAGCCCTTATTTCTAGTCATGCCTGCAACACAGCAGGCCCACTGGAAGGTAGGCTGAAATTAAAGCTCCCAAAGGGACAAGGCTCACTAAGACATAAAAAAAAGCAGTGTCTTTTGGACTAGCACAAGTGAAAAATCAGAACAGAATTTGCAAGAGAGTAGGTTACATTTCTATATATGGCAGTCATTAGATTGAACACGAAGTAGTTCAGATTTCAGCATAATCTAGATAGGTATGAGCTGAGAGATAAATGCAGAAACTTAGGCAGGAGAGAGGAACTAAGCTGCAGTCAGGTTACTCCGGCAGGAGCAACTACAATGCTACTATGGGCCATCATACGGAGGCAGTTGTGAACCCCATTACCTCCTGTGATTCCTATTGGTTACTTCCCATTTTGAAATAGCAGAACTGGGCTCCAGCTAA